TGTCGCTGGTATCGTCCTCATGTCTTGGTGGTCGTAACAAGATGTCGCTGGTATCGTCCTCGTGTCTTGGTGATCGTCGTCACTAAGTGTCGCTGGTATCGTCCGTGTGTCTTGGTGGTCGTCACCAGATGTCGCTGGTATCGTCCTCGTGTGTTGGTGATCGTCACTAGATGTCTCTGGTATCGTCTCGGTGTCTTGGTGGTCGTTACTAAATGTCGCTAGTATCGTCCTCATGTCTTAGTGGTCGTCACTAGATGTTGCTGATATCGACCTCGTGTCATGGTGGTCGTCACTAGATGTCGCTGGTATCGTCATTGTGTCTTGGTGGTCGTCACCAGATGTCGCTAGTATCGTCCTCGTGTCTTGGTGATCGTCACTAGATGTCGCTGATATCGTCCTCGTGTCTTGGTGGTCGTCACCAGATGTCGCTAGTATCATCGTCGTGTCTTGTTGGTCGTCACTAGATGTCGCTGGTATCGTCATTGTGTCTTGGTGGTCGTCACTAGATGTCGCTGGTATCGTCCTCGTGTCTTGGTGGTCGTCACTAGATGTCGCTGATATCGACCTCGTGTGTTGATGGTCGTCACTAGATGTCGCTGGTATCGTCCTGGTGTCTTGGTGGTCGTTACTAAATGTCGCTAGTATCGTCCTCATGTCTTGTTGGTCGTCACCAGATGTCGCTAGTATCGTCCTCGTGTATTGCTGGTCGTCACTAAATGTCGCTGATATCGTCCTCGTATCTTGGTGATCGTCACCAGATGTCGCTAGTATCGTCCTCGTGTCTTGTTGGTCGTCACTAGAAGTCGCTGGTATCGTCATTGTGTCTTGGTGGTCGTCACTAGATGCCGCTGGTATCGTCCTTGTGTCTTGGTGGTCGTCACTAGATGTCGCTGGTATCGTCCTGGTGTCTTGGTGGTCGTTACTAAATGTCGCTAGTATCGTCCTCATGTCTTGGTGGTCGTCACTAGATGTCGTTAGTATCGTCCTCGTGTCTTGGTGGTCGTTATTAGATGTCGCTGATATCGTCCTCGTGTCTTGGTCGTCGTCACTAGATGTCGCTGATATTGTCCTCGTGTCTTGGTGGTCGTCATCTCGCTGTAGATGTCGCCGTTGTCGTCCTTGGATATATGTGAATGTCGTTAGGTGTCTATGGTGTGGTCCTTTTCGTGCGTGTTATTTCGATCATCAATAAATGTGATTGAGGCCGTTCAACATCTTGAATGAACATTGTATATCCGAAGATCTCTTCAAAACAACAAATATGAAATTCCAATTCTTTATTCCTTTTGATTTTCCTGTACTTCTTGTATCATTTGTAGGGCAATGATAGGTAGTTCATTTACAAGGACGAGCTCCTCACATTGTGAAGTTGATCGAGATTGACAGATTAAATCCACGTTAAAGTAATGTGCATCAAAATGGCGGTTAAGTTATTCACCCGATACCAGCACTCAAAATCAAATGTGTTCTTATCATTAATGGGTTTTCAATACTGACTGTTGTATATGTTTGTTGAGTGCTGACTGATCAGATAACGTCCACCAGTGGTAATGACCTCCGTCTTGTATACACTCCACATTACATACAATGTACGATAGCTCTTATCGGGAAGTAAAGTATGACTTTAAATTTTCAAATTTAAGTTTTCTAATTTGAATCAGTCATGTATGCTAGAATTGAATTTGTAATTGAATAGAGTGACATGAAGCATGGGCTGTACTAATGACGTATTTTGTGTGCATACATTTACGGAGTTAGTTCGAATTCTGACCCTGTGTGTAACCTGTAGCAGCTAGTGAAATAATACTAATATATCGGTATTGTTCATGCTATATCGGTATTGACTGTCCATCAGTATTTTTGGTATATGGGTAATTCGATAGTGCAGTTTGTCCATATTTACAGTTTATCGATAATGCAGTTTGTTCATATTTACAGTTTATCGATAATGCTGTTGTCGGTATTTACAGTTTATCGATAATGCTGTTGTCGGTATTTACAGTTTATCGATAATGCAGTATATCGGTATTAACAGTTTATCGATAATTGCAATATATCGGTATTTTCAGTTGATCGATAATTAGGGTATATATATATCGGTCTTTATGGTATTTCGGACATTGCGATGTATCGGTAGTTACTGCATACCATAATTATTGTCTATAAATATCGGTCACAGATTGATGGTATCGCGGTATTTACGATATATCAGTTTAATCCTTTGTTTTGTTTTATAGGTTTAAGTGTATATGCTGTTATTGGTTTGATAAAAGAATATCTATCATAACAACATCTCCGTTATAGTTAAACAAGAACTGACCACAGCAGTAATGAATAGATCTTCAGTAGGAGTGTGGTCTGTTTACCGACCGAATTGACCACAGCAGTAATGAATAGGTCTTCAGTAGGAGTGTGGTCTGTTTACCGACCGAAGTGACCACAGCAGTAATGAATAGATCTTCAGTAGGAGTGTGGTCTGTTTACCGACCGAAGTGACCACAGCAGTAATGAATAGATCTTCAGTATGAGTGTGGTCTGTTTACCGACCGAATTGACCTCAGCAGTAATGAATAGATCTTCAGTAGGAGTGTGGTCTGTTTACCGACCGAATTGACCTGCTCTGAAGTAGGAGCACATTGAAATGGTTATAATATATATTTGATTTTTCATTTGATTGAAACTCGGATTAACAATTATGAAAACTTGGGAGAAAAGGCCCCATGAATCTCGTGAAACATTATTTACATTTTATATATAGAGTCAATAACACGCTTACAACGAAGCCATGGGACACAGGGAATGATTAGAATCCGGTCGATATACATATGAACATGTTAAGTTGGAGAAATTTGTGAGTCGAATACACTCCAACTTGTACAGAGTGCTGTCGATATTTGTTTAGATTATCTAATCAACTCTAGTGACAGTCCCGCTAAGAGAAGGGCGGGCATTTTTTTTTATTGTTTATTTGCTTTAAGCCATGCGACATATCATTACAACACGTGCGCAAAGTATTTACAAAAGATATCAATGAAATGTTTAGGAATATTCTGGCAGGACTTCAACTTTAACTGAGACAGATGTATAGCACACGATATTTAGATTGTACCATGATTAGTGGCAGAGAAAGAAATACATTTTTTAGCACTTGCTTGAAAGATACTTTTTCACAATTGAATTTGGTTTTAAATGAACTGGAATCTTTGATAAATTGAGTTGTGTAAGATAATTGGATTGTCGATTTGTGATATAAGTACACAGGTACCTGTACAGGTGAGGTGATCGGTATTGTATACCTGAAGTTAGCTTTACCTTTTTGCTTTGAGACTGATCATTTTACAGTAATTAGTTCACGTTTCAAGTTTTTTTTTATTTCCGAATGCAATACAGCATATAAATTAAATGTATACACTCACAATACAGGAAACATATTGCAATGTTCAAGATGGCGGAGGACAATTCCATAAATTCTGACATCACATAATACCTACTTCAGCAATATTACTTCACGAGCGGTTTTTTCGCGGTACTACCAAAACACTTCACTTCCTACAGTATTGTCCACAGCCTGGCAATGCCGCTACATATCGGCTATCAAACCTACGGGTCCGATTGATGACGTCATAATGACGTCACACTGGTAAAACCCTTCCATGAAAATGGTTGTTCTATATTGAACCAACATACACGAGACATGCCTTTAGTTCGAAATAAATGTTGGGTTTAAAAAGAAGTAATTTTGTCGTTTTCTATGAAAGATGTTGATGTAAGGTTTTATTGTATTTCGTTGGCAAGAACACCAATCTTTACTGGAAACTTACAAACTCAGCAATATGACTGACCTGGGCTGTTTTCGTTTAAACCGGTCAGACAACAGTTTAGTTGTTCGTTTATTAAATAAGGTTGGACCTAGTAATCTGATGCTACTTTCAGGCGAGCCTTGACAAAGCCTTGCAAGGCCTGCATAAACATTTGCATGTCCGGCAGGATTTATACCCGAAATTATTACATTTATAAACGGTCAAACCGGTTGTTCTGCATACACGAACAGGCCCTTGTTCCACGCTTCATTGAATTGTCATTTCCAGCTTGTATACTTCAGCAAATACACGAATATTAATCCTTTTACTGGTCGTCCTCGCTTTGATTGATCTTTTTGCAAAATTGGCCTTTTGGAGACACAAAAGTCCTTTTCTTGCACAGTAAACATGTATAATCACGTCATCATTTAGAATTATCAGCTCTTACTCACTAATTACGTACACATTTAAAAGTTGACAAATATATCACACCTTGGTCATGGGTCGTTCGAAACACTCCGTCGTACCCATCCCAGTGTTTTACCACATCAGTTATTTTACCAGCATCACATTTAAAACGAATGATTGTAACAGTTGACGCATTACCCTTTTCATTAAGTCGTTGAATTTATTGAAGATATCGTGATGACATTTAAAATGGATACATTTTGAATGAAATAGGTGAATTGGTATGTTGTCGACATTCCGCAGCAGACTAAAATGTAAAGCTATTTTACGACTTCCAATCATTGCACGTAAACTGGTACTATTATGTTCGATGTATTATGCAGGTACTATTTTGTTTGAAGCGTTATTCAATAAGCTATTACATATTTCATACCGAGAATCAACCATTTACTGGTTCATACATTATTTGAAGCATTATGCCATAAACTTGTACATAATTAATTTGAACATTAACTAAAGCCTGGTACAAATTCCATTTGAAGCATTGCGCCTCGAGCGATGATCTTGTCCGTATTAAATTTTAAACGGTATAGTTTATATTTTGAAGTATGCTATCCTAGCTCATTCGGAACAGTGTGCTTACGTTCATTGGTGTATAATATCAGAACTCTGTAGATAATTTAGCACGAACACACGTAATCCAAGTCATTACTCCCTACTTGATTGAGACTGACGAGAAGGTGCATGGTATTCAAACATTAAAACTGTAGTTTAAATATTATTTATTACAAGGCGCTTCACACCAATACTCAGAGCACTCGAGAACAGACGAACCTTACGACTGTGTGTGTATACAGACCATCTGAACACCAGGGTAGGACATTTAAACTGGAGCCTCGACATCTGAACGCCAGGGTAGGACATTTAAACTGGAGCCTCGCCATCTGAACACCAGGGTAGGACATTTAAACTGAAGCCTCGACATCTGAACACCAGGGTAGGACATTTAAACTGGAGCCTCGACAGCGGTAGACACGGACCAATATTTACGTAGACATTGTGTATACCAATACAGGAGAAAGTGTGATAAATGGAGCCTCCCATGTTTCGGCGTCATTTGAAACAGAAAGTTAAAGGCGTACGGTCTGCACCATTTCATTCATATTAATTTTCAGTAGATCACGAGTAAACCTTTCTGATTGTGATGATTTTAAACTTAAATATTTCAGCATTTCAAATAAAATACCTGCCAGGATAGTATGATGATTTACGAAATAACCAACAGATGTGTATGTAATCAGATTGGATATATAACGAGTGTTAGACAATGTTAGAATGAATTATTATTTTTTTCAAATATTTTCTAATCCCAAGTTATATACATGGATTCAAACGTTTAATTTTTGTCACGTGATGCATGCTTTTCATTTCACCATCGAACGATGTCACAGCTGATGTCGTAAGTTCTGTCAGTGGTCATACTGTGCCAGTTTAACGTGGATAAATGCGGAAATTGTTAAGATGTGTGCATGTACGCGTGTTCCCTCACTCAACAAAACTTATTCCTCCAAGACAAGCTACACACTGCTCACCTACTTTGGAAAAGCGTTGCACGTGCATGGACTTTTGAAAAATAAATTAATAGACAAAATACAGTATTGCCAATGCTTGGTTGTAAATAAATGTTTACAACCCCGATCTGGTAGTCTTCCTGCCAAAGCTATTAAGGTATGTCTGTAACTGATTGCGTTATAAATGTTTGCATAGCAAAATTAATGATTTTCATTTATCATTTTGGAAATACATTATCGCCTCATTCTTGTATCACTCTTTTATCAGGAGTACCAGAATACTAGGATCAGTAGCTGTACACGTGTGTGTGTGTGTGTGTGTGTGTGTAAAGGTGTTCTGGTTGTTATGGGTCCGTATTTCCGGCTCGTTTATAAAGCTGTTTTGGGGGAATGGATTCCCTTTAACACGTTTGTATGATAAATTTGTTGTACGATGGTCGCGGATGGTGGCGGGTTAATAGCGACATAACACCACCAGGTGATCCGCCCTACCTGAGGGGGATACGTATCACAGTTAGAGATCAGTGAATATCTAACACGTGAATCGGCTTTATTCTAATTCAACATGCCTACCGTCTGGAATAATAAATTGTCGACACAAAATGATTGCTACGTCATTTGGGTTTTTTCCGAAAGACATATCCTGGTATTATAAAAACCGAACAGCAGGCGTGCTAATATTCATGTTTAGGATCTGAACCGCTTCGATCAACTTTCGTTTATGACTATTTATTAAAACCTATAATCAATAATCAATAGTTTTCGAAACTAAATGACGTCAAGTTGTTTACAAAGCTTACCTCAATCACTTTGCCAGTCTCAAACTTGGAAATGTAGACCTAGAAAGGCTGTGCACTTCACTGCATATTTGAAGCGAATGGTATTATTACATTTTATTCATAAGCATGATTTTATACGGTGATTGTCATATTTGACTTTCAATGAGTTCATTTTGTGAAGTGCCGACACAGCGCTATCGAATATAAATCACTTCATTTTCGCGAGTACTTTTTCGCTCGTGTACTTCACACGACTAATCGCGAAAATGTTGAGAATGCTAAATTTTAATTGTTGCATGTTTTCCAGACACACTTGGGTTGGTGACCTATCCCCGAGTTGAGTGAGGAGGAGCAGACGGTTTAGTGTGGGACAGGGCCCCCGACAGAGGAGCTAGATTAGTGTGGGAGAACAGGTTAGCTGGATTAGTGGGAGAGCGCCGGGACTAGCAGGTTCTGCCGGGGAGCACCCTGCTGACGACAGGGTTTGTTTGTGAGCGCCCTACAGAGAAGATTTTACAAATACAGCGAGTGGAAACAAGCATGCAAATCATGGAATTAACCTACAGAGATTATCAGTAAGTAAGACTTACTTCAATGAAATATAAAGCATATAAGACGCCGCCAAATCGACAGAAGTCGTTTTTCTTGTCATCACTGTAAAGTCATGGTATAGCATTAACACACGAGCGTGTCTTATAGTGAAATGTGAACAGTGGTGAGAAAATGATGGGGAGATTGTAAATTAATGAAGGGCGTTGAAGCTGGTAAGTTACTTTCAAACATTTTCGAATACGAGTTATAAATTTCACGTTATATATGTTGATTATGTCCAGTCGACATCATGAAAATGTTATTGAATATAAATATATATATATATATGTATACAATTATTGCGTATACAGTGCCTGTATGAAAACATGAACTACACTTTTGCGCAAACAAACAACTAACACGTGATGTCTCGTTTTCACTTCACTAACAAACATACATAATAGTTTCTAAACGCTACAGCTTTTATGGTCGTGCCCCGCCCGATTAGACTGGTAGGTATATGCAGGCGTGTCCCCTCACTCGACAAAGCTGTGACCTCGATACACACGTTTCAATTGTTTACATTTGAATACTAGACTTTTGGAAGAGCTTTGCATGTGCAAAAGTTTTAAAGTTTTAAAACATCGCATTTCATAACTACGTTTTTCCANAAAAATTTTTTTTTTTTTTTTTTTTTTTTTTTTTTTTACTTTAATCGAGTTTATAACTCCTTTTGGAAGGCTTTTCCAAATTTCATGAAACTGAAATTAAATGTTCTATCTAAATTATAATGTATTACAGAGATTGGCGGAGTAAACAAACGTATAGGATATGAAGTGGTTTTACAAAACGAAGTACTTCTTGATACTTGAGTATACGATTTAGTTAGAGTTAAACCAGTGGTATGCTCCAGGTAACTAGTTAGTCCACAGGTATGGCAAAGGTAAACATTGACATTCAATCGTCCAATACACCGGAAGTGCGTTAGTTGAAGATTTGTGTTTATTATCGATATTTATGCTTCTACTCAAGCTCAATCGGGAAAAAAGGACATCGATAAAGTTCGGTACAGAATGAACTGAATTACTTTACGTATTTGTAAACGGGGCTGTCTGGAAAAAGTAAATATTGTACTGACTCATTGAGATAACCAGAACGTTTTCTCCGCCTTCATTGTTTGAAGAGCTCTGTCTGAGTCTGTGTCTTGTTTGATCTAAGATTGATCAGGTCCTTCTATATTAATCTCTGGGTTATATTACGCACTATTTGCACGACTGACATACGTAATCGCACATGAAGAGCTGTTTACTTGTTGCAATGAAAGTCAAGTGGAAGTATTTTTGAAGGAGAGGACCAAATCCCGACAAACAGAATTTGATATGAAAAATAAATAATTTAAACATAAAAGAAAAGTTTGTAACCTGAGTTCACAATAATTCTTAGGTAAAAAACAGTTTGTACTATACAAACATTCTTAGGTAAAACACAGTTTGTACTATACAAACATTCGTAGGTAAAACATAGTTTGTACTATACAAACATTCGTAGGTAAAACACAGTTTCTACTATACAAACATTCGTAGTAAAAAACAGTTTGTACTATACAAACATTCGTAGGTAAAAAACAGTTTGTACTATACAAACATTCGTAGGTAAAAAAACAGTTTGTACTATACAAACATTCGTGGTAAAACACAGTTTGTACTATACAAACATTCGTAGGTAAAACACAGTTTCTACTATACAAATATTCGTAGGTAAAACACAGTTTGTACTATACAAACATTCGTGGTAAAACACAGTTTGTACTATACAAAAATAAACATTCGTAGGTAAAACACAGTGTCTACTATACAAATATTCGTAGGTAAAACACAGTTTTTACTATACAAACATTCGTGGTAAAACACAGTTTGTACAATACAAACATTCGTAGGTAAAACCCAGTTTCTACTATACAAATATTCGTAGTTAAAACACAGTTTGTACTATACAAATATTCGTAGGTAGAACACAGTTTGTACTATACAAACATAAACATTGGTAGGTAAAACACAGTTTGTACTATACAAACATTCGTAGGTAAAAAACAGTTTGTACTATAACGTTACAAACATTCGTGAAAAGGCATCACTGGACATGCACGTTCACCGGATTCATACGCTGACGTATTTCTATTTCAGATATAATACAATATAAGATATCTTAATGATTGCAGTTTAGTAAAATAACAGTGTTCCAATTGTGTCATTTTTGTACTTTTTTATTGCAGTAACCGAGTTTTTACTCACACCGAGAAAAAGATGATGGAGTTGGACAGATTGAAATTGTTGGCTAACAAACATATGGGCCGTCTTCATCAGCTCAAGATGCGCTACATTGACTGGTTCAACCGGAAGCACCAGTCTTTTGTCGATTCCATCAAGCTCATCCACACCCTGGGCGGCACACTACTTCCGCTAGAGGTGGACACCATCCGCCATTACAGGCGCGTGCGCGACCTATCACGGAGATTCCCGCGGAACGGGACTCCGCGAGACGCTAGTCCTGTCAAAATGGACGAGTTCATTTCCTTTTGGGAAGAGATGAATATTCTTAAACTCGAGAACGATGCACTGTTTGACATTGTAGAGGATTTTTGTCATAGTATACGACGGCTTAGACAGCCGGAACTGAAGGACGAAATTGACAGACTACATTATAAACTGAATCTTTTCTGCGCAGAAGACTTCAAGTTTACAGAACTCAACAACGAACGTGACAATTTGTTTACTTATAAAATTGCGCCACATGATCACAAATATCACGGTCTGGTGAACTATATACCATTCCTCCTAAACTACGCCACACGGCTGTGCTACTGGACCAGTAAACTATATATAGAAAAATCGTAGTATCACTTTTGCATAATAATGTACTACCTTGGTGCACGCACACTATGTGAAAACGTGATTTAAAGTAAGCATTTTGTTTGGCCACACAACTTTTATAGCCAAGGACTTTTGATCAGCATTCTGATAGAGATTACCGGAAGTGGAAATAGCCAGGTCCACGTGACTTGAGAAGTCTTTTGATTGGCCACTTAAATGATGAAATGCAACTTAGAGAAATATGTGTTAACCAGACAATGCAAATATTTATCATTAATTAAGACTTAAGCGACAAGGTTCCGCGATAATTGGTTAGTTAATAGTACGGACCCAGAACTCCTCCGTGTTATGTTAATACCGTGTAGATAGAAACTCTCTCTCTCGCCCTCTCTCTCGTTCGCTATTAGGCCGTGTTGGTTTAAACAACGTTTTACTAAAATTATGGCTGTTTTTAATGAAAGGCATGTGCTTGAACATAGATTAAAATCAGTCAATTTGATGTTAAATTGATATAATTTGGTGTCGTTATCAGATAAAGATATCGAGAAAGCTACATTTTAAAACGGAAGCTCATCATATAATGAAAACTAGTGTGGAATGAATCTAAATGACCACGTGTCTGTGATATATAATGAAATATAATAAATGTTGTAACTGTGAAAATGTTTCGAACCTATGGTTATTTTTCCGGAAATGGGCATTTCTAATATATATAACCGAAAATGTCCATTTCCTCTTTTGAGATGTTTTGGTACCGGAAGTGGATATATTTAATAATAATTGTCATTTCGTGATTGGACTGTATTACCAGAATTTCATTAAAAATTATCACAAATAAATCTACTTCCGGTATGACAGAACGATCATATTTTGCCAAACCTAATTAGTTTGTTTTGTCATCTGTATGCTTGTTAAGTAGAATGTTTAATTTATATTCATTTGATTCGTGAGTGATATTAACATACATGTATTTGTCCGTTATATTTAAAATTCTATTTTCATTACTTCTAAATTCATAAAATAAAGTGATATCTACTTATTAAATAAGTCTAGAGCTCTACATTTGTGTTGGGTATTTATTTATTTGGTGTTTTATTTTTCATTTCCGTTGTTTTAGTCGTATTCATACCGTATTTGGTTTGGTTTGGTTTTATTAGCTAAGGCGTTAGCCGCCAGCTATTGGTATTACTTTAGTTAATGAGCTCAGATATTCATAAATGTCGATTTCACACAGACGGCCTCTAGCGGTAATCACTGGTACTAAATTGAATCATATACCGGACCTACTGTCTTTATTATGCGTAACTTTGGACTCAAATGCACTTGAATGGCTTGTAAATATCATTCCTTTCCTTTATAGAACATATGATCTTATCACAACGTCGTATTCTTATTGAAAATGCACCCTGTTTATCTCAATCGGGAACTGCTACTTGACTGTAGGTCATGCATGCTACACGCAACTTCCGGTAAAAATACTTTAGTTAATGAGCTCAGATATTCATAAACGAGACATAACGTCACCTTCTAGTAATACTAAACAAACTGCAAATAAAATCCATTACCACGGACTCAAGTTCACTCAAACGTCATTGGATATAATCTTATTCTTAGTTAGAACTAAGTATCCTTCTAAAACTTCGTATTTACTCTTGGAACTGTCGCTGGATTAACCCTTTACACGGAAATATTGTCCTGTGATTGGCTAAAATTGGTGACATTTACGTCCCTGTTTACAATTATATATTGCGTGGTCAGAGCTATGAAGCGGTCCTGTTCCAACTAACTGAGGATAATCAAAAGTGCTAATCAGTAATAATATATCTGATTCACGCTTCATATGATTATAATGTTATCAAAATATTGCATATTCGTTCATCGTTAAAATAACAAATCCTTACTAAAAACTCTAAAAAAAGAAACGACGGCCATGTTAGATCACGCGTGATGTTATCCGTTTCCTTATATGGCCTTCACGGCCAAATATAGTATTACTACTGATGCGGTCATGTTTACTACAATTTCCATATTTGGTCATGACACCCATATTTAGACGTCTGACCTATATCGGAAAGATTGACGAAGTTTCCAACATGGCAGTCAATTAGGATTTCGCTTGCACTTGTTACGTAAACTTGATAATTTAACGAAATATAAGGCGGAGTATAACTTACAATTATGTAGGAGATCAACATAAAAAGTTCATATTACAAACCTATTAATGGATACGGATCCTGTCAATTAATTCTAAATTCGCCTCCGTGTGATTCACACCAGGCTTGCCTAACTAAAATGGGATCAACCGGCCGGGGCATATGAGACCGGGAATCATTTTAGTACTAGCCACTGTCCTTCTCTAGTTCCATATTGGTATTCTAACCTGAAGGCTTTTTTTTTTCACCTTCGCAGTATTATCATTTTGTTCTATTTTCATCATAAGATATGCTATTGCATTTTTATATCGCCTTCTCGCTAATTACAGCTCAGCCAGAAACGAAAATTATGCGCCGATAGGCCTACATTTTATATGTCTGTTGGTGTGATTTGTGTTTTTCGTTTATTGAAGTATTACCATATAACAGGACTCTTTTATTTCAATATACACAAAAACAACAACACCTTCGGAATGATTTCAGACATATACTGCGGGAAAACACGAGTGATCTCCCTTACATTTAGACATGCGCACATTTTACTTTCGTTTTGTGTAGGCCTAGACATCATTCGCAACGCGAAGCGGAAAAGACGAAAATGCAGGCGAGTGTTGACTTAATGTTAGGCATGTTGTTTAAGCAGCATTGACAATGAACAATATACATACACTTCTGCAACGTTTACCTACTACTGATTCATAAATAAGGCTATGTATCCCGATTTCGGTGACTTGTGGCCAAGCATGCGGCCGAAGCCGCAGAGAATGGCGCATGTTGTCAGCGGCGATGACAAAAAGGAAGGTGCTTCTACGGTATGTATAGCAGTTATTATGCAAAAACAAACATAATAAACGGACGTTTTACTCTAGTGAATTACAGCGTCACGAGGAACGTCTTTCTCCAGACGTGTTGCAAAATTTTCGAACTGCTTAGTTGCAAACTGATTTCACTTAAGCGTTGTTTGTGAGGATATTTGGCCTTACATTTCTTCTCATTCAGTTAAAAAAAAACATGTTATAAACATTGTATTATTAGATTCATTGTGATGTTGGCTTTCATTGAAGTTTCAATTGTTATACTACTTGATGTTTTGGAAACTTAAACAAGTATAGTAGTTCTAAATATTATGAAATGACAGAAACATTAGGCCAAACAAATTACTTGTGTTTCTACTATCAGAAAAAAATAGGGTAGGTATGTATTAGCTAGGCATTTTATTGTTAATTTGAAAAATATCTTTACTGCGCTAATATAGAGCAGGAGTTCTGACTTTAACAGTGCATATAAAAACTTAAGGGTATTGTAGAACACAAATCTGAGATAAGTCTGGTTAACCACACTGGTGTCGAACACACCAATAAGTATAGTGTGTATAATATATCATAGTTTATACACATCATATTACTATTAGTGTGTCCAGTATCTGTGGGGTTAGCATAAACTCAATATTTGTTTTAAACTTTTAATTGGCCTTATATAATGATCATTTATAGGTCAGACAGGGTTTGGTTTCCAATTCGGAAACTAGACCTGTTAAAACAGTTATCATTTGTAATTTAGAGATTAAATATTTCTAAGCAGAAAAAAATGAACTATAAATATTTTTCAACCTTTTCTGAGTTGTACAATTTTAGAGTATCTTCTGTCTGAAATCTGAACATAACTTGTTTTATGATAAATGTGTAAAACAATTCCTCATACTGGGGTAAAGTTTTTCTATATATAGTCCCAAAAACTACAGATAAAATCCTTGAGCACGTACAAGATACAAAAATATATATTTTACGTCCATTTTGCAAAACATACAACATAAGCTACAAAGACAAAACATGAGTATAATAACAGAGACCAAAATATTACAACATGGAAAAATAAAATAAAAACATGTATGTACATGTAGTATACTGTAAGCTCAGAAAAAGAGTTTATCACTTGGAAAGCACTTAATAGGCACATTGAACACGGTAAGCACATCAGCACATGGTAATTTAAGCACATTTAGAACATTTGCATACAGCACATAAAAAACAAAACCATAACATGGAAAGCTTATTAGCACATAGTAGGCACATTTGCACATTGTAAGCAAAATAAAGGAGTGCAATGGACATCTCCATGTTTCCTGGTTAATTTCTTCTTTATGGAAACAACCAGGGGAGAGTGATGTTCTGCTTCATCTTTTGTATTAATGAAAACCGTGAATATCTAAGTGCGTGTGTTTAAACTAATTTTGTTTTGTTTTTACTGGTACCTTTTTATGTACACATGTTTTACCACCTAAGGAATTAGATGTCTTAAGCCCCCATATGATGTGCTGTTATAAGTTGAATTTAATGTACATTTTGTTTATATTTAGTTCTGCTACCAAAGAGATTGACTTATTGAAATGTTTTTGAAACATTTTAATGAACTCCTCAGCTTTAATGCCTTATTTCTCACTATACAAGCTCATATTGCTATGCCTCCTATTTGTTTGAATATCATCTCTAAACATTATTGCTGGTGCAGAAATTATATGGTAACTATGTTCTATTTTAGGGGGGGAAAGCAATCAATATTACAACAGACAGGGATGGTTATTGATGGGAGAAAGGAGGATGAGAAATAGGAACTGTACCAACTCTCTCATACCTTTGAGGACTTCATGAACTTTTTCAAAAGGCTGCAAGAACTATACCAACAGTGACATGACATTTTGAAATCTGTCAGTTACTTTATAGAGGAGGAACCTCTGACTAAATCATTTTCTCTCAGACACATGAAAGCCGAGTCCACAGATCCTTCCATCAGCGAATAGTTCAAATGTAGTTCAAATGCTTTCCTCGCAAACTTTTCCTTAATGGAGAAGTCAGTGATCTTTACTTGGAACAGATTGAATCTGTGAATATTGATGCTGAAAGCCTGATGAATGTGATTGAACAGCCCCTACTTGATGCTGAAACCCTGATGAATGTGATTGAACACCCACTACTGACTAAGGGCACAAATGTTGGAAACAACGTTTGTTTTGATCAATATAACACTATGGGTGGTGGGAGCAAATTGGAAAAAAAATTAAAAGTATGTTTTTAAAGATAGAAATACTGGTCATGGCTTCCTTTTAGTTTTTGTCCAATGAATTAAAAGTCAACGCAAATGTTAAGTAGTAAAAGAAATGTAAGATCCCTGGTATACATTGTACTTTTAACAATGCTTATGATCAATATCAATAAAATAAAATAAAAGTTATAATATGTAACTTGATATTTGTTAACTTCGCTCGATTTTACTGTGTCCAACATTTGATATTAAATCTTGTGTGATATATGAGAGGGATAGCACACAAGATTGTATCAATGTCAATGAAAGCAATTATTTCTTAAGTTTTCAACCATATTTCTTGAAACTTCATTTCTAAATTTCATACATCAATTGTTCAAGACAGTTTTAAGGTCAATTTCATTCAGTCAAGGTGAAGGCTACAGCTTCACAACCTGTTCATGTACATGTGACAGAGAAATTGTCAGTGCATTCCTAACTAAGTATTCAAACCAAATTTTATAAACCTTGATCCATCATTCTCAACATTAAATCATGCACTACCTGTTTGCATATACACAAGCAACCTCAACTTTCAATAAGTCCTGTTGTCAACATTTGTTGCACAATGCTATCAGTTCTGAAACCAACAATCATGACAACTGTAATAACATAGTATGTGTTCTAGCTGGTACATTTGCAGTACTCTTTTGAAATGTATTTGAAATTAATATGTGCATCTTATTTCAAATGCTAGCCTATGAAGATGATAAAGCTGAACATATGCTATAAAGTTGTTGTTTTCTTTGTGAAGAATTTATGCAATGGAAATAGAGGGAAAATAATGTACTCTCCTAATCTTGTGTGTGTGTGTGTGAGTA